AGGCCTCCAAAGCAACCAAACCGAAGCAGCTGAAGAGAACCAAGCCAGACAATCCACCACCCGCAGTGGATGAGCTTTCTTCACCTCCAGAGGCCTCCAATCCGGCCAACCCCAAGCAGCCAAGGACAACCAAGGCGAAGGATGCTCCACCTGCAGCGGATGAACTCACTGCAGAACCCAAGGCCGCAACCACTCGGGCCAAACCAGGGCAGCCACAATCAAGCACCACCAAGGATGGCACATCCAATGCACGCCAGACAGTCAGCAGGGCTAGGACTGCTGCCAGCAAGCCCTCTCCAAAGAAGGCTGCTTCGAAAGCCGCCAGCAAAGCCAAAGCCAAGCAGAAGGCAACAACGAGTCGCACTCTGTTGCCTCCCCTACACAAGCACACCAAGCAAACCGACCTTGCCAATCTGGACAGGATCGTGCGACAGAAATTGAATTCTGTTTCTTGTCAGGATTGCTTGATAAGGCACCCACTTTTTCATCCCAACACAACTAAGGTTTACTCCATTGCTTGGAAGCGAGCCAAGAATGAGGGGCACTCCAGCGATCAGATCCGGGAATGCGCAGTGTTGGCTAGGAAGCAGTGGCTTGGTTCAAAGGAAACACAGAAACTGGACCCCAGTGTCTTAGGATTTTTTGTGGTCCAATAACTATGAACTTAATGCAGCCACTGTCTACCTCAGGTGGGTGTTGGAGAATGGCCCGCGTGCATCCAAAGTGGTGCAAGACCTTCTTGCAGAGATCTAAGGGTGATTGAAACCCGATTTGGCATTTTGCCATGAATTTTGTGGCAACAATGGGCCATAGTGATCTGCGCCTATTGTGCTTAGAGTGCGGCTGCTGTGTTTTTTAGACACATGCGCCAACGACTTATTGCAGCCAAGATTCACAGCAGGGGTGTTGGAAAAAGTATGTTTGGGCGCTCTTGGGCCACTGCGGCGTGCACATGTTTTTGCACCAATCCCAAAGGAACCACTCTCCAAATACACAAGAGCCAGTTGTCACTGGACTGGCATTTGTGTAATGTGGACTTAGATGGTTTCAACACACGATCCATGCCAGATGCCATGAGCCACACGATTGGAGTGTGATTTCCCACATGTGGTGCGTCTTTTCTTGAGGGTGTCCATAATTGGAACTGGGGAACCTGAAAGATCATTCCATGGATGTCAGATAGTTTCTTGCTCCGAAATTCCCATGTTTCTTTTGTGTTTTACATCTCAAGCAAGGTATAGGCAGCACAAAGGAGCTCCTTTTCAGCGATGGTTGTGCCTCCGTCCGTCCGTCTAGGCCGCGACCCAGTAAGGGACCTCTCCGAGTGACCTTACACGTCCATTCCGTGACAGGCGGGTGCCAATCTCTCAGTGGGCCGCTGGGCCTGAACCGTCTTTGGGTCCAGAGACTGATGAGGACGAGGTCCTCTAAAGATATCTAGGTGACTGTAGGTGATATACCTCTAACTACCGAAGGTACATACCTGTCAACCTGTTGGGTAGACCTAGGTGGCCGTGTTTTTGCGTGACGGCATAAGCTCCATCCTGCGCCTCCTGTTTCGGTGTTGAAGGCGCTGAAGCACACAAACAAAAGGACTTGTCAACAGATTTGCACGAAAAGAATCAACACACTTTGGTAACGCAAAACCTTGTGCCTCTCCTCCAATCAGGTTTTCAACCGCTTCAGACTGTCTCGTTGAAGGTTGGAGCTGAAGACCCAACCACGAAGATCCAAGTATTTGACCATTTTGTTTGATGCCCCTTCAAAGAAGTTAGGAAGTTGCCGTGTTGCTCTTCTGCCTCTTCAGGCTTGTGCATAATTCCTCAGAAGCAACTGTATCAGATCGATTCTGATGTTGATATCTCTAAGGGCCCAATGATCAAGCGTAAGGCTTCCTGAGCATACTCGCCTATCCCTAGATTCGACGTTCTCCCAGGGGAGCGCCAGCTCCTGTGCCTGGCTCGGGCATTGCTACGAAGTCCGAAGCTGCTTGTTTGTGATGAGGCTGGAGCAGCTCACTTGATGTCCCTATCCACAGAACTGAAAGAGTTATATATATATATGTATGCATACTTGTGTAGTCACAGTCTCTTTTATATATGATCAGTGAGAAACGCATCGTGTATATGTGACAATGATCCCAGGTCATGAGCCAACTTATCATTGCCAGTGAAACTAACTTATCAGTTTCTTAATTTTTATGACCCGTGTTAATCAAACTAACATTGAATATACGGTGTATATATATATATTATGTACTCCATGTGTGACCGAATGAACGTATTCTGGGAGCATTCTACCCATGTGACATGCTTTTCACATACATGTCTCGAGAAATTCACAAAAGGTCCGCTGGACTGCCATCCACATCCGCTGGTGCCGTGGGACAGGTCCCAGTACTCGTAAGGGCCAACATACAAACCGCGTGGATACGAACGTGCACTGAAAGCCTCCAAGTGACTGATCCAACATCAAAGCGACTCTGTCTTCTTTGGCCTTTTTGCGCCACAACCGACCAGTTCTTGTCGAGGCCGAAGTGGCTCAGCACGTCCAACGGTTCCCCACTTGCTTGAATCAGCTTGAGTGATCTTAAGTGCCTTGTGTCATTGTCCTCTCCCAGTTTCTTCACTCAGCACATCCTTTTGTGGGGTGTCGATCGTTGCCACCTCATCACCTCCACCCACCGGGGTTTGTTGCAGGCAACGAGCTCGGTGGATGCTATCACGGACGCGCAAGTGCAGAAATGCCTTCGCAACGCCGTGAGGCACCGGTGAGACTGATGGGATGACCTGAAAACCAGTGACACGCAGATGATGACATAGTGGTTTTGATAAGGGCAGCCAAGAACAAAACGATAACTTGTTTTGGGAACGAGCGGAAGTATACCCGGGTTGCTTACAACCCCTTTGTGTGTGTGTGTGTTTGTGCGTGTTTGTTTGTGTGTTTCTTTGTGGAGGACGTCCGCCCCGGGCAGTGGATCTTCGAATCGTCTAAGGTCACTTTTTGTGTGATTTGCCTCCCATCTAAGTGTTTATCCGGCAAGACTGTGAGATATTATGAACAATATACATGTGTCTCTTGGTATGATGAAGAGGGCCTAATTGAATTTGGATCCTTGTGTTTTCAGCACAAACGGGTTGGTTTTGACATGCTTTGAGCACCCTCCCATGTCTTGCCTCACCCCAGAGTGCTGCCATGTCATTAACGATATATGCCTTTCAATACGCGTATGCCTAAGCAGTTGACCATGCGTCTTCGGATGCTGGAAGGGGGCCTATATCAGACCATATCATAACCGAATCATAACAAAAATGGGCTCCAAGAAACTTGCTTCTTTGAGCCGAGCCTAGCTTCTCTTCAGCCTTTTCGACTCTTGCCAGAACCTTCGATGCGAGCTTGCTGACCATCGCCCACCGCTTGGTCACGGTGGCCGACTACGACAAGGCGCCGATCGGACCGGTCGGCAGGCCGGTGCCCGGTGGCGCATCACGGAGAGAAGAGCCCGGTGGTGCAACCCACCGCGGTTCTGCTCAGGAAAACGTAGGGGGGTCCCAAGTGTGGTAATTACATGTAATTACATATAATATGCAGCAGCAAGGACAGAGCTGGGCAGGAGATTATGTTCACAAGAAAAACAGCAATCAGAAGTGACGTGAAAGTTGTCGTTGACACATTGGTATAGTGCCTATCGAGTCATGTTGCATTTTCTACTACGTATTTTAATAGATATTATAAGTTGGGATTCCAGACATTCAATATTTACTGGGTGTTGGAAGCTCCTTCCTGCCTGTTCTTGACATGGATGTCGCTCAAGACAGGTCAGGATCCACCGAGAGGAGACCTGGGCTGACATTTACCTACTCCTGGTGAATTCTGAATGGCTTTATGAAAAATATCCATGGGTGTCTCAAATTCACCCAACTCACCATCTCAACTTTTGATACCCTGATGTCTAAAACATTATGAAGCCATCCACAGTTGATGGATCCTTTTTGTTTGGACTTATGGCCAGCTCTTGCACTTGGCAAAGCAATAAACAGATGATGGTCATATTTAAGTTGTTGGATTTTGGAATCAATGTGTCAGCATCACCTGGATTCCAGAACATTCTGACATCCTGGAGCAACCTTTGCGTGCCAAAAAGGTGCCATAGGCCATAGGTCAAAAAACCTGCTTTTTGGAGCTGTCATCCCAAAAAAGTGCCATATTGGGCATTCCAACATTCCAACGTTTGATGAAGGGATAACTCTTGGACGCTCTTGGATGCGCTGCAACTTTCAAAAATTGACAAACAAGTCTACGGCGAAAATTTGCGAGAATATGGCGGAAATATTGCAGAAACTTGTCGACTGGAAATTTGCAGCCTCAGAAACACTTCAGCTTGACCAGGCTGTTTTTTGAAGCCCAATCCTCCGCAGAAACCTGAGATGATTATTTATCCCAGTGAATTTGTGGTCCACGTCTACCTCTCCGGGGACACCGCATCATAACATATGTCATGTTTTCTTAGATATCGCTTTTTTGGTCCAACATGGCACCTTTTCTTGTGCTTTGAAATATCGCACTATATTCGGAATTGGGTGGTCCAGGATAGAATCCAGTTGATGCCGGATCATGAAATGTGTGTTGGATTTCATTTCATGGCACATCACCTGTTTCACCTGCTTCACGTCCTCGCAGGTAATGTTGCTGCAAGCAGGGCAAGTGAAGGAGTTCGATTCTCCCGGCAAGTGGCCTAGTCAGGCAAATTGCCGTTCGTTGTTCCGGAGACCGTCTTGTTTTTGTTTCCTTTTTCCCACGTGTTTACGATAACATGGCCAGGAAGGCAAGGATGCAGATCATTGAGTGGCAAAGCTCCCATCTTTGGGATCGCTGCATGGGCAAAGTGACCGGTCTAAGGAACCCACACGAACTCGGGACGAATGGGCGTCCGCGTGATCGGCCCTGACTAAGGGCTAGCCGGGCTAGAGCTCCCACACGTCTTTTTGTTCCTATGTAACACACGTACTAGCTCCTAGCGCATAGGTCATGGGCGACTCCCATCGTGCGGGTGAGATTCTTCGATGTCACCCACACCATGACTCCCACATGTCTTCACTTCCCACACTGCCACTTGGAATGGAAACCCTGGAATTCAAGGAACTGACATAGAAGATGTGGAGCATGTTTGGCCCCAGCTTGGTTTCGGGGTCAAAATGCAAATCTCAGGTTGTTGGCAGAGAAGTCCTCGGCCTTCTCTCAGTTAGTTGACAGCCGCTTGGAAAGGGAACTTGCTACGATTTGTGTTTTTTGCCGGCTGACTCGCTTGTTTTTCGATTGGTGGACGCTTTGTTGGTGTTCCTTCTACGTTGCCAGCATGTGCAATAGGGCCTCCTTGTGAAGAAAAGCCTGGTTTGAGACACCATCCCTGACCGGTTCATTCTGGTAGACTTGCTCCAACCACAACACGTGGTTCAGACTATCCCCATCTAACCATGGTACTATGCATGGGATGACCACTCGTGGATTCACCACCATGCCGGTCACGCTAAAAAAGCGAGCACCGTTCTTCAAAACGGTCAGACGTGAGACGTCGGGTTTACATCATTTGTCTCGCATGATGTGTCAGGCCTATTTGCTCCACTTCAATTGATTATTAGTTGATTAGCATGTTTAACTACGACCATCCAGTAAAAAGGGTGAGGTGTTTCGTTCTCATTTTTGTTCGCCCTTCCAGCACGTGCTGGGTCGCTGGTCCGTCCAAAGAACGGGAGTTGTCTGAGAAGAAACCGTGTGTGTTTTGCTATGAGGCATTGTGTTGCTATAAGGCCCACACTTTCCATCAAATGAGGTGCAAAGGCAGGAAAGCTGCTAGTGTTTCTAGATGTTTCTAGCTTTTTGTGAAAAAAAAACAAAATACTTGACATGTACTTAACATATCTTAACATCGTTTTTGCCAGCCGCAAAACATTCCTCGGAAGCCTTCGGACCCTCCGAACGAGCATATGAAGTCCTTTTTTCTGAACGAAGGGTGCCAACCAATGATGAACCGACCCTTCTTCCAAAACAGTCCGGAACCACGGCCCACGCCGGAGCCGAGCTCCACGCCAGGCATGGGCCAACGCGAGGCGGCGGCGATCCGGCAGATCGCCGCCGCTCGGCTCGGAGGGAGGAATGCCTCGGAGTCCGAGCCGTGGGCCGTTGGGTGGTTAACATGTAAACACCAAGGGTCAGCCAGAATTTGAACAGTCATATTCAGTACTACTCTTATGGAGGGTTGAACTATCGTCCAGAGTATTGTTCTTTTTTCTATTTTCGCTATTTTTTTTTTTACGGAGCGTTTGTCTAAAAAAAGAGGGAATTGGGAGTGGCTGGATCCAGCCAGATTCTCTCAGGGACAGAACGCTGACAGCCACGGTCTCTTATCTCACATCGCTGTGGGTCGGACCAGAGGATTCCGGAGAATGGGATGAGGCATCCATGCAACCCGTTTGGGCTCCTGGCCTACCTCCGTTTCGAAGGTGGTGGGTGGTTTGGGGGGTTCGAATACCACCGGTCACCGGGTCGGAGATGGGGCGTTCGGAGCCCGACTCGGGTGTATGGTTTGGGTTTGTCCTATTTCCTGTAACAGGACCTGTAAACAAGCAAAACACTATGTTTGAACAAGGCCTGCAACCTTGTTCAAACTGCTACCGGTATAATAGGATAGACCCAATATATGTTATATAGGAAGTTGTAGAGGTGAAATCATGTAAGCTTCTGCAGGTAACCCCCTATGAGACCAAGGAAACCCACTCTAGAAAGGGAAAGCTACACATCTCGAACCACCCACTTGGCATCAGTGTGTTCCACAATATGACTCTTTGCGCTGCTGTCGCTGCTGTTGCTTGTCTCCCCAGTTGTCTATTGCTGGTATTTGGGGGTCGACATGCTGGTGTTGGTTACACCCTAGAGGCCAGCGCCAGTCAGGGCGACTTCGTTGCATCATTCTGATTTGCACAACTGATCCTCATCCACTTGCCGCGCTGGCGCCTCGCTTGGTGCATCCCAACCAGACGCCTGCCACGGTTTCTTTTTCTGGCAACGCGCGTGATGCGTGCGCCCGGCTGTTTTCGAGCCGCGTGCGTGGCGCGTGATGTTCAGGTATCCACGGGGCCCACACAGCTCTCCCTGTGAGTTGTGAACCGAAAAAAATGCATTGAGCGACGAGTTCAGATGTGCTGGTGGGTCAGTTCCATGGTGTCTTGCTTGATGACATTTGTGTGATACAGTCAGGTCCCTTTTTTTGGGTCGGCCACATCTGTCGTTTGGATCGGATGTCGAGACTTGGGTCGCCGACCCCCAAGGGTCGTTTTCGTTTCAGACAAGGTCGCCGAAGTGGATGGCATGGCACCGTGGATGACCATTTTCTTCTACAAACAGGTGATTTTACACTGCCATGTTAGTGAGTCTGAGGGGAATCCACAACTTGGGTCCTTCTTTTTGCTCTTCAGAGTAGCAGTACCGGTCAATAGATCATTGATCACTGTGGCTGGTACACTCCGGATCAGTGGAAGTGGAAAGCCACCACCTGCTTGTGGTTAAATGGTGAATAAAAGACCAATGGTCACCACCTCGAGCCTCATCATCTACGAATCGATGGAGGGATGGACCCACTGTCACATTTCAATTAGATCTGAATATGTTTTTGCATGGTCCAAAGGATCAGATCCTCTTCTTCGGCCCAACAAACATGGCCCTGCTTTTGACTCCTGCTCTTAAGGAACAATGACGAGTTGGACAGCAACTAGGATATGGCTGAGCTATGCCGAGCTCGTGATTTTTTTTCACAAGCGGCAACTGGATGTATATAATTATATATATATACATTTATAATTGGGGTGACCAGATCATGTGAGCCAGTGCGTGTTGGGCAGCGCCAGCATAGGTCTCAACACAGGCTCAGTGTGTTCTCAGCGTGCTTCCAGATACTTTGCCCATCATCCAAGCACAGCGGTGGTTGGCTTGTTGAAAGGTTTTGGTTTCAAGATGTTTCAAAGCCTCTTTGAACTTTGGAGCAAGTGGATTGACAGTCCAAAGAGCAGGAGAGGTCTGTCTAGCACTAGCAGAGCGAATGAGCTCAGCTTGCGCACATGGGTCCTTCATGAGCCTGGCATTTGGATGCCTTCGAAGCTGAAGGAACAACTCCATGGAGGTGACATCCGAAAGGACATAGCATAGCACAAATCCCAGTTGTTTTGGACGCCCCAGTGTCCATGATCCTGGGTCAAACAAGCACAACAGGGTGACCAGTCTTGCAGTGACCAAAGCTTCCCCCATGGTGGCCTTGAGCAGATGAAAATTGATGCCCTGCACCGTGCTTGGGTGCTATTTCTTCCTTTCTAGGTTGAATAGGTTGAAGAACATCTAGGGCTACTAACAGATAAGGCCAAGCAAGTCTTAGCCTTTGTTAATCAGTGGATCTTGTTGGCACTCTACTGGGAGCACCCTTTGGGTCGCCTTCTTGTCTATCTTGTCCACCCCCCCCAATCCTTTTGCTATAGCGTTTGCTGGGTGGTACCGGATGGATGGACCCAGTCCACTCGAGCCTGCCCTGTCCGACGCACTGGAGGAATCGTTTGTCAAACGTATTGTCATACTGTCAGACGCATGTCATACAAATACGTATTTCAAGGAATTATAGTTTGTCATAGATATTTCAAGTCAACCAAATGAATCTGATGAATCTACACTGCACCCCACTCCTTGTCGGCACTGCACCGCATCGGGTGGTGCGGTGTCCAAGCTCTGAGCCAAACTGTTCAAGTTGCCAATCTGCACAATACGCTGAGTAGACACTTTGACAAACCAAACGCTACAGTCGTGAAGCATTCCTGGGTGGTTCATCGAAATGAGAATCTCCATTCGGAGATTATGCGACCTTCCAAACTAGGATTGTATAAATGGTTTGGACCTGTGACAACACCTCAGCACTCCAACTACCTCCTGGGAAGGTACTTGCTGTAGGTCGAGCTTAGGGGGTCTTACTACCTTCTGAGGATGTACTTGGCGCCGGGATCAAACATAACACTCGTGAGGGACTCGTGTACACAGTGTGATGAGTGCCGACGTTTCCCGCGTTTGCCAAGCAACGCGGAGAGTCCACAACGAAGTTTTGCCAGTTTCGCCAATCCATTTCTCAGGGTCTGCCCGCCACGCTGAACTGTGCGTGACCGGATGTGACTGGACAACTGTGGCATGGGGGCGAAAGACGTGCGGTTTGGGATTCATGCTTCACCAGTCGGGATCCGGAAGAAGTCTGAAGAATCATACTCCAGACCTGGCGACGGAGTTCGCCCAATTTGATTGTCTGACATCCTTTTGACCCGGTTTTGATGACCCAAGTTTGACATCTTCAGTACCTGGTGCGTTCAAACATGTTATTTGTTTGTTTAAACAAATGAAGTTTTTGTTGAGCTTCGGTAGCACTATATAGTTTCCAGAACAATCTTGTATCCTGGACTAGGGAATCGGAGTTGAAATGATACTGATACTAAAGACCTTCTTTCTCAAGGATTCTTCATCGGGGTCATTCCCTTCTTCTCTACCAAGCGCCTACCAAACAGAATTTCTGAGAAGGAAACTGCCAGAGGCTTTACCTAATGGATCCTTAAAGGAGATTCTTGATATTCTTGATGAATAACTCCCCAAGCCTGAAGATGTAAAGCCAGGCGAAAGGCGGTGTGCGGGTTTTATGAATCAACAGTCTACACTACAATACCATACAACACCCAATACCATCAGCTAGGCGGCTGCTTGAGCTGATTCTCCGGATGCCTTTGACGACCTAGGCTTAGACCACTTGGGTATCCAGCGTGCAAGGCTGTGGGGGGCCCAGGCAGGGGTGGTAAAACGAATGCAGTGAATCACGGGACGAATGTCCGAGATGGACTTTGTTGGAAAATGTTGGAAAGGGTGGGCGGTTGGAAAGCCTCCGTAAGTAGTGCCTACCCGCGTGGGTACATACCCCAAACGTTCGTCGACCCTACCTGATAGGGGAATTGACCCCAGCAGTGTGTTCAATTCAGTTTTAGCCTGTTCTACTCAGTGGAGTAGGCTGAGTCGCCTTTCCTAAGGTCTTTCCGAAGGCGTGAACCGAGCCGCCCAAACAGATCAGCTTCGTCAGAGCCCCGCTGAGGCTGTTCCTTTGTGCGGGAGCACCCTTCGCTTTAGGCTTCCAGGCGTCGGAAAAAACAAAACAGCGGCTCCTTCGTTCGCCCGGTCGCTCCAGTCGATGGAACAGGGAGAGAGCGCGCCGCCAAGGGCCGCAAGGCCTACTAACTACATCCTACGGGGGGCGTTGAAAGATCCTCAAGAATTGAACACCCCTCAGATGGGGGAAATCTTGGAAGGTGACCAAAAGAGGCAATTGATGGCTGGGATCCGGTATCTCGGAGTCCACCGGAGAATAAGACAGTCTGACCCAAACTCCACTCGTCGCGGGATCCCGGGTACCGACTTTCTGAAAGTTCGAATTACTTTGGGAATCGGCACACACCCAGGTTTCGGCACGGGTTGGACTGAGATGTGCTTGTTGATTCTTGACATGGACATGTTCTCCACAGAGCACCTTAGTCAGCATCTTACTTTCTGCGGGAATACAAGCAGGACGATAGTGAGCTGCATGCCATCAATGCCAATTACACGTAGGAAGCTTCTGTGAGGGAGACAAAGATAGTGCTTATTGAACCAGCATTTGTAGGCAACTAGCTGAGTGATATCATGATTAATGTGATACCAATATAACCAACATTGACCAACACAATATGAGAAAGGTATACTACAAACCAGACAACCCAGGAACTGAGTGACCAGCCCTCGGTCATTTCCTCATTTTCCTCCCCATCCTCCTCGCTAGGCCAGATATCCTCACCGCAGCTCGGGGCGCCTGGCTCGGGTCTCAGGACAAAAAGGCGGTGCAAGCTGGAAAGCTCCATATGTGTGGCAACCAGCGGTCTCAAGAATAAGGAGGCCCCCGAAGTTTGAATGGCAAAGTAGATCACCTTCATTCACCTTCAACATCCTTCAAAGATGTATTGGACATCCTTTCGGTCCAACTCTTCCGTGGTTGCCCGGCCCGCACTTGTTCGGATCCATTGATTGTGCTCCTATTCAGAATGGGGCTTTAGAGTCAAGGCTCGGGCGACAGAAGGAGAATAGGACACCTTGCCTCACCAGTGAGTGGATCGACACCCCGGTCGGGAGGTGCCAATGGGACATACCGGTCACCGCCCGACCGAGTGGATATGAGTGGATCCTCCGTTCGACCTTCGTTCTTCGTTCGTTTCAACCGAGCGCGTAGCTTGGCACGAATCAGGTGGGCTGTTCTTCCTGGGTGTCTCCGAGGGACTGCCCATCTGCGAAGTTCATGTACCAAGTGGGCGCAGGAGAGGAATAATTCGAGTTCGTTGGGAGCTCTTTTGCACAAGTGAACAGAGCTCTCGAGGGATGCGTAAGCAGGTGGGTGCCAGCGAAGCTAGGGTGCGATCAGAGACCTGTTTTCCCATGCACGGCATAGGGTGGGAAACTGCAAGTCCATCAGTTTGTTCTTTTTTTTGAACTCACTATATAATCTTATATATATATATTAGTTATTATAGTTATATATTGTATATATATATACCTAGAACCTGGATGACCTTGAAAAAGAAAGGCCTTTCAAAAAAGCTTGGCTTTTATAAGACAACCATGTTTTTTTTTGAAAGGGACGTAAAACCATAAAGGGACGTAAATTTAAACATGGCTGTCCAGATGTTGCCATAAGAGTGGTGATATGCTGGTAAAGAACTATAGTTGAACATGACTGAAGGCATCGAGCGATGGTTCCTGGAGTTCCAGCGGTGTTCAACATTTGCTTTCAGGGTTCCTGGTGTCATTTCAGGGGGCAACTGTGTCCAAGATGGTGAGCCATCGTACCAATCAAAGATCTTAAACTCATTGGAATGGTTTATCCTTTAATGTGGATTAAACACATAAAGATTCTATTTGATTACCCACGCAGTTGACATCAGTTGACCCACATCCTACGACCAATTGGTCCTACATCCCTTCACACCCTCCTGTGTCTGGGTGGCCACCTTGTGTTGGCCAAGCCGACCGATCGACCAGAGGTGCTGGTGGAAGGTGAAGGGGATAAA